ATGCTCTTTGGCAACTTTAAAGCTGGCTCGTTTCTTTGGCAGCACCTGGACCTGGCTTTTATCAAGGCTACAGTTTGCTACTGGATCTGCAGTTTTGGGTGTTGCCTCATGTGCACACAGAGACTCCTTGTGCACAACATTTTCTTCTGATGAAATTTCTTTGCTCTTTTCTGTAGATCCGCCTGGGTTCAAAGAAGCCTGTGCAGATTCCAGCTGCAAGGCTGTATCACCAAGAGTCTCGAGTTCATTTCCTGCTTTCTCTTCAATAGAGAAGTTAAACTGAAAAGCCATTTTCCTATGAAGTACGAAAAAATAAATCACAGCTTATATCCAAAGTTACAATAGGGCAGACACTCATCCAATGAAACTGTGAATATAAATGTGATTTTTCTTCTATGGCTTTTGCAGATAAGAACTTGCTCCCTGGCTGTAAGGCTGCTCTGCCATAGTTAAAAGCTGTCTGCAAAGATCTTTACATTAGTCATCACTATGAAAGTCTCTACTTTGCAGGTATAATGTCCACTTTCTTTGCAAATTCATCTGTTGAATTCTATAAAAAGAGAATATATGTCAAATATCACATTTCATTAAATTGAAAGATAAATACTTTGCACTTGTATCTATCCAAAGGACAACATAAGTTACAAATATTATCTAATGCCACCTTGTAACATCCCTTTGAGGTAAGCAATTATTACTATTCCCATTTCACAGAGGAGAAAACAAAAGACAATTAAGGGATTTGTGAAAAGTAATGCAGGAAGTGAATGGCACAGTTGAGTGAAGTCTGGTCTCCTGAATAATTTAATCTTGTGCTTTAGTCACAGCCTTCCTCTCTACAAAGCACACCGACAAGTTCAAGAAGATATAAATCGCTTGCCTACAGGAAACTAAAAGTTCAAATTTGATTGTCCGACAAGAAAATGTGATTGTTCCAAATTTCAGACTGTGGTCTCATTCTCATCTGTAAATTAAAAGATTATTGCTCTGCATTCTACTTGCTCTATTTTAAACTACTATGCTAGGGTTTCTCCTGTTCTTTTTCAGGGCATCTGATTCTCACTTGGTATTATATGTTTGGTTTTGTCCTCACTTTAAAATAAAAGTGACACCATCAGTTGGAAACTGTGCCAGAAATGAGAATTTCTAATTTGAATAACAATTCTAATATCTAAATAATATTATGGCTCATATTCATTTCCATCTAGTTTGAAAACTAGATCCAACCACACAGACTGGCACTACTCTAGTTCTCCACTTGCACCGCCTGCAATAGGATGACCAGATGTCCCGATTTTATAGGGACAGTCCCGATTTTTGGGTCTTTTTCTCATATAGGCTCCTATTACTCCTCACCCCCGTCGCAATTTTTCACACTTGCTGTCTGGTCGCCCTAGCATGCAGCTGCACTAATTCTGCACACATTTCACCCCATGCTTAACCTTACTCCTGTGAGCAATCCCACTGCTTTGGGAGGTTCTTGTCTTGAATTGAGTCCCACAATCTTGTGATCAGAGTTCAGCACGTGCATAAATGTTTGCAGGATTGGGGCCAGGGCTCTGTTCTTCTCACATTACTATTTGTGTTACAGTAGCCTCTAGAGTCTAAGATCAGGGCCCCATTGTGCCGGGCACTGTACATGTAGAGCAAGAGACCGTTTGTCCTGAAGAATTTGCAATCTCTAAAGAGACCAGACACAGGATGAGAGGGGAAATGAGGCAGAGAGAGCAGGGGAGTGACTTGCCCAAAGACACTCAACAGGCCAATGGCACAGCTGGGAATAGATGCCATGTCT